GCAGGGGACCAATGAGGAGGTTACAGCCATGATCCAGATAAAAAATAAAAGTTAACATTATGAAAGAAACAGTAGAATGGAGAAGACTGATTTCAACAATATTGAATAAATTTTTTTTTCATCTGTTATAAGCTAAACACTAGGGATACAATTGTGAACAAACAAGCAGCCCCTACACTTAAGCAGCACATAATCTAGTGGGAGATAAAAGAAACAAAAAACACACAATTATAATAAAGTATGGTAAGTGGTGTGACAGTTGTGAATATAAAGACTATGTAAGATAGATTCTTCAATAAGACTTGAAGAGTTGGGAGGTAAAGTCAGGAAGGCTTTAGAAAAAAAGGAAGTGAGGCCGGGCACGGTGGCTCACGCCTGTGATCCTAGCACTCTGGGAGGCCGAGGTGGGAGGATCGCTTGAACTCAGGAGTTGGAGACCAGCTCTGAGCAAGAGTGAGACCTCGTCTCTACTAAAAATAGAAAAATTACCAAGTCAACTAAAAAAAATAGAAATAAAAAATTAGCCGGGCATGGTGGCTTGCACCTGTAGTCCCAGCTACTCGGGAGGCTGAGGCAGGAGGATCACTTGAGCCCAGGAGTCTGAGGTTGCTGTGAGCTAGGCTGACGCCATGGCACTCACCCTAGCCCGGGCAACAAAAGCGAAACTCTATCTCAAAAGAAAAAAAGGAAGTGAGATTTGAAGGATGAGAAGTTGATCAGGCAAAGATGATGGAAAGGTAGGAATGAATTCAAGAGACATTTCACAGATAGAAAAAAGATAAGAGAAAGAAAAACCTCAGGTTTCTAGCTTGAGTGATTAGATAAATGGTGATGTCACTAAGAAAGGGAGATAAAAGGACAGAGATCAGGGGAAGATTAGGAAATCATGTTCCACTGGACATTCAGTTGAAAACACTACCAGGCAATAAAAAATATAGGTCTTGAGCTCAGGCAAGAGATCCACGTATTTGATGAGTATTGTGTTACAACTACCTGTATTGCTTTTCATTCTTTAAGTTAAAAAATCCTGCCAATTTTATCTGATTGACATAATTAAATCGCTAAATTAATAGCAAATGTTGAAGGAATTATATAAAAAATTTAAAGAAAATAATTCCAAAAGGTATCCTGCCCCAAGCTCTCAATGTCTTATATTTTCTACTAGAAGCAATTTGGTGAACTAAAGATGAAAACAGGCCAGGCACAGGGGCTCACGCCTGTAATCCTAACACTATGAGAGGCTGAGGCCAGAGGATCGCTTGAGTAGAGGAGTTTGATGTTGTAGTGAGCTATGATGACGCCACTGCACTCTACCCCAGCCGACAGAGCAAGACTCTGTCTCAAAAAAAAAAATAAAAAAAGACAACAGCAGCATCTCATTTTCTGACCAATAGTAAAGAACATTCTTTACTCAACTCTCGAGTTTATACAGCTTTCAATATTTCCATTGGTTTGCATGCTGAAAACAAAATATTGTTCTAAGAAATATACTCTTTTGTTCCCTTATCCATTTTGTATTTCCCAAATTTTTACAATGAATATATAACTACCGAGAGAGGAAAAAATAAATATTGTAAAGCACCATATTCATTACACACACATTACAATTCCACATTATAGATGCTGTTTATTTATATGTTTGATCCCTGGACTAAAATTAAATATCTTCACCCTAAAACCAAAAAAGAAGGGGTTAATCTTTTTCAGATAACAATTTAGTAAAAGCCACAAACAAAATCTCTTTAAATTCTTTTTTTTTTTTTTGAGACACAGTCTCACTGTGTTGCCTGGGCTAGAGTGCCATGGCGTCAGCCTAGCTCACAGCAACCTCAAACTCCTGGGCTCAAGCGATCCTTCTGCCTCAGCCTCCCAAGTAGCTGGGACTACAGGCATGTGCCACCATGCCCGGCTAATTTTTTCTATGTATTTTTAGTTGTCCGATTAATTTCTTTCTATTTTTAGTAGAGACGGGGTCTCGCTCTTGCTCAGGCTGGTTTCGAACTCCTGAGCTCAAACAATCCACCCGCCTCGGCCTTCCAGAGTGCTAGGATTACAGGCGTGAGCCACCGCGCCCGGCCGTCTTTAAATTCTTTATTCCCGTTTTGTAGTCATACTTATCACATCCTGATATATTAATAAAACAAAGATTTAAAGGCTAAAGAACAATAACTTTGCACAGAAAAAAATTGTTATTCACAATAACAAAAAACAATGTAGTACCTTGAAGACTTGGTGATAGTGACCTAATACAACCACTTAAAAAAGTGAATTTTAACAACCATAATTCTAGCATGGGTAGATGAGTCTCAGTATGACATTAGTGGAGTTGACAGATGATGGAAGTTTGCCTACACTATAGATCTCACCTAAAATTAAAAGCCTAGGGAAAATATTTTCACAAATGTCAAATCATGTATAAATGTATTACACATTTATAAAATGTGACTACAACCTAAAAACTAACAAAATTTTGAAAATCTTATTTTTGTAATAAGACAGTTACGAAATGTTACGTATGTTCTTTTTATGTTGGTAGCTGTCATTCACTACACAAGACTGCCACTGGTACAACTTAACATTATGGTTACTAAAAGATATTGAAATCTTAGTTGACCAAAATGTAACAAATATTACAAATGTCTGCAATGGCAAGAGCATTCTATCTATGATACTCTAATTCCTACTAAAACTCATTATAGAAACATTTTATACATTAAACAAGTACTGCTGAAGTCAAGTCAAGCAAAGCCTAGAACACTGGGGTATGTGTCCACTTTCATAAGCTTAAGAGGCACAGAAGACAAGTATTTTCAAATCTAGCTACTATAAAATGTATATTATATATATAAGGCATGCAAAAATGTTTATGGACCATTTATGGCCCATATGGAAATAAAAAGTCTAAAACACCACTATAGCTCAGTAATCAAAATAAGAATTTGGTAGAATTTAAGATAAGGCAGATATGCTCAAAACTAAACAATGACATTTAAAAGGTTCCCAGACTAAATTTACAGAATGTCAAATCATATTGTTAAAAGAGGTAGATGATACTATGAATGATAACTGAAATCACTGTAGATTTAAAGCTATATTTCCTGCAGTAGACACCGCTTCCCAGAATTCATTCTTCCTTCTGGCAATACCTTCCAGTTTTCAGAGATACCCACCCTTCCAAGCGCTCTTGGAGGCAAACTACCTGCACCCTCACTCCAAGGACAGTGTTCATGACAAATCAATAACCTATACATCCCTGGCCACTGATTGATTCAGAGGTGGGCATGGTCCTAAGCCAATACAATCAGACTGAATCTCAGGACTTTCCCAGGAACTGCCAAAAGAGAGGCACTCTCTACCAAACTTGAAATTCTAAGTACATGAAACTAGATGTGCTATTTTAAGTACATGAAACTAGATGTGCTATAGCCCTCTTGCCAATATAAGGGGAGCCTATCTGAAAATGGAATCAAGCCAGTGGAAATGGAAACAAGAAATGGAGCAAGGAAGAGAACTGATTATATCATTTGAGCCTCAGTAGCAGGCTATGCTTTAACCCATCTCTACCTCTAAAATGTTTTAGTTTCACAAGTCAATAAATTTACTTTCACTTAAGTTAGTTTGAGTTGAGTTCTTTCTTAAAACTGAAAAACTCTAACAACTTAGTTTCTCTGCAGCAATCTTAATGTAGTCTCACAGATGAGGTAAAATCACTGTCAAGTTCTTGCCATATAAGCCAGACATGTGATTTAATCCCCTTATATCTCAATACCATCAATATAATAAAATATATCAGCCATTATTTGCTTAAAAGTGTTGTGAAGTTTAAAAAAGTGGGGAGGGCCAGGTGCAGTGGTTCATGCCTGTAATCCTAGCACTTGGGAGGCCAAGGCAGGAGGATTACTTGAAGCCAGGAGTTCAAGACGAGCCTGAGCAACATAGAGAGACCCTGCCTCTACAAAAAATTAAAAAATTAGCTGGACGTGATGGCACACACCTTTAATTCCAGCTACATGGGAGTCTGAGGCAGGAGGATCGCTTCAACCCAGGAGTTTGTAGTTGCAGTGAGCTATGATAATGCCACTGCACTCCGGCCTGGACAACAGAGAAAGACCTTGCCTCAAAAAAAAAAAAGTACGTGGGGAGGGAAGGTGGTATTAATATGAAGTGATATTTAAATCCAGTGCCCTATAGATGAAAAAATCATCTCATCTTTTAAAAAGTAATTTTAGAAAGTCATTTTTATAATCAGTATTGTCATAAAGTTTCCAGGGAACAAGGCAATTAAGGAAATACCAATACCTGCTATACTCAGATTCAAATCTAATTGTATTCAAGTCTATTCTATACAGTATTCACATATAAGAAAGATTCAACTTAGAATCAAATAGTTCTGGGATCAGGTATTGGCTCTACAGCTGACAAGTTTGTATGACTTTGGGCAAAATAATCCTCTAAATGCTTTAACTTCCTTATCTGTAAAACAGGAACACCACTACCTATCTCAACTCACAAGGTTTTTGTGATGATCAAATAACAGTTATGAAAGCTCTTGGCATGGTATCTGCATTTAACATTCCTTCCATTAAATGCATTATATACAAATGTTTCCCTACCATGTTATCCAAATATCTAAGGTTGGAGAAAAACTATTTTTCATTCATTCTAAGATGTATGTTTTGTTTTTTTTTTTACATTTTTCACAATCTGAAATCAAATAGTACCTTATAGTTAATGGCAAGTCATTGATTATTTGATAGTGATCTTTCCTTTTTCAGTGGTACACAAGAAAATAGAACATCCTGCAATTAAAGGTTGTCTCATATTTGATGAAATAAAATACGGTGATTCCATTCAAGTAGAACTATGGTACTTAACCAAGTAAGGTAGCATTTACCAAAACATACATTAGAAACAGAAGGATATGTGTGCATATATACACATATACATACATATACTTTGTGCGTGTGTGTATGAGTAGGCTGTAATTTTACTTTACATACCTCTGTAAGTCAACTATTTCATTGTTAAGGGTATCTAGCTCCTTAATAGCAGAGAAATCTGCAACAGGACTTGATCCTATGAAGCTCTAAAAACAAAAAGTTCACAATTATACATTATTACTATAAAATTATGTAATATATAGCAAAGTACTAAAAATGTTAAAAGCCCTACACAGATACAAGGTATTGTATATTTTACTGTATTACTAACACTTTTAATGAAGAAAACCATATCTGGTACAATTATATACTTAGTTATATACTAAGACATTTTCCTTATATTCTCTAAAAGCTGTTATTCTTTAATACACACCCCCATCCTCACCTCTGATCCCAATGTCTTTGTCACTTGATCCTAGCCTGTTCAGAACCTTGTAGTAAAACAGATAACAGATACCAGATATATAAACTAATTTCTCCACTGAAATATAAATTTCTTGGGCAAATGGATGGTGATTTATTAGCATTTATGTCATTCTGGCACAGAGTTAAGTACACCAATTTTTGTTGCATTTCAGATTTATAATGGTGGGTGATTTTATTCAATTTAATAAATATTTACTTTCGTTAAATATTTTTAGCATCTACTCTATTTAAAGTAAAGCCAACTGCACAGGCATGTTCCATAATAAATACTAATATCACCATACATAAAACTGTCTTCATATTACATTCTTCATATACGGTTTTCTTTAAATAATGAAGGTGCCAAAACTGGTCTCTGAATGGTACCTGTAGTTAGAAAATCTAGCTGGGTTTATTCTGGGACCTGCTAGTTTACTAGCTGCATGATCTTCATCTGTAAAATAGGGAAATAATCTCTGCCTTGCCACTTTACAAACTAAACAAGATAATGTTATGTGAAGTCATTCTACAAACTTTATGATATTTTATAAATGTAAGCTATTGTTATGATTAACACCTCAAGAGAATATACTCTTAAAATATGTAGGCTCCCAATAAGTTGTTTCTATCTTGTCTATCTTGTCTCAATCTCCTTTGTGAACTATTATTATTGATGCCTCACATAGGTCAGTGCAAAAAAGGTAACTGCTCCTTCAAATACTTGACCTATAACCAATGCTAAAACCATATTGACAAATAACTGAATAATCATGATTTGGAAATGTTAAAACTGAGGCCTCAACATATAAAAACTAAGACATACTGATGACCTTACTAGTAGCATATAAAACTTAGTATTAATATGTTTTTGTAAAGTTAATGTATGTCACCAACGGAAGAAACCTAAAAACTCATAATATCCCATCTCCTTATATTTGTATACTCATTTACCATTCACTAAGTACTTTCAAATCCATCAGTTAATTCTCAAAACTAATCTGAAAAGTGGATTGAGGGTAGGGCAGATATTATTATTAACCCCATTTTAGAGCTGAGGAAACAGATTAAATGACTTGCTCAAAGTTGAATCCAGCTAACAGGTAGTTAGATCAAGAGTCTTCTGATTAGATTCAAGAGCTATTTCACAGTATGCCCCCTGGTACTTGCATATCAAGATCATTTAGGTAAATGAAATCGTTACCCTAAAAGTAAATACGATACACAGGTACATCAATAACATTTGTCAAATAATTCTTCCTTCTGTATTTCCTTATGCTACACTGCACTTTTAGTACTTAACTGTTTTGTTTTGTTTTGATTATCAATACCAAAACTCTACTATGAGGCTTCAATTAATGCTAATCTCAATTTTATATTAATTACAGATTTTTATCAAGTATACCTCACCTATTTTACTGTGCTCCACTGACTGATACACAAACTCTTATCAATGCTAAATTAATTTAGAAAATTTAAAGTGAATTTCTGAATGTGACAGTTATTTACTAGTATTTTAACTCTGTCTAAACTTGAACTATGAGCTAAGCCTGGTCAGATAGCTAGAAAGGTGAACAAAATGAAAAATTAACACTGATCTCACTTTTGTCACCAAGAGTAACTGACATCATTTAAATGCTACTGAGAAATTTGTTTGCAGAGGTACAAGTGTACCAAGAAACTCATGACTTCCACACCTCTTCTGTCATACTAATTTTAAAAAAATGGCTCACATTTGATAGTCTTTTGCCATTAAAAATATCAAATAAGACAGTGAGACAAATTAATTTAACCTCAAACAAGTTAGAAGATGATACCCCAGATGACTCTAAAATGGCATGCAACCGGGAAGCACAGAAAAAGTACAGCTCATATTATATGAGTATCTGAAGGGCACACAAAGAAAAATGCAGAATGTTCCAAAATATTTTCTCTCATCCTGTTCTGTGCATTACACAAAAATTCCACTTTGGTGATTTCAAGTGGATCAGACAGCCTAAGAAAGGCAAACTAAAATTTACACAAGGACCAACTGACATGTGACAAAAGCATGCTGCTTAAGTATATTTTCTCTGCATCAACTTTGCTGAATAAAAAACCTCTAATTTCAAAATCTATCTTGTAAACCAAAAAGTTCAATGCTAAAAAAGGCATAAAATAAAGCTCTAACCTTGAGAGAGAGTAGAGTTAAGAAACTGACAGTACAAGAAAGGCGAAAAGCAGAGTGCTGCAGAATGGAAAAAATAGTCCAAACTAGAAAAAACACAGAAAGGAAAGCAACATTCAAAAAGGATTAGTCAAAGCTGCAAAAAAGGCAGTACTAAAAAAAAAAAAAAAAAATCAGATTATAAAGAGAAAAGAGATTATTTGAAAGATACAAATTTTAATTTTTAAGGTTAAAATTTTTGGTTAATAGATAAGACAACAGTGATAAAATCCCATTTCAATGAATAATACTGGTATCTGACACAAGTAGACAAAGGTGTCTATGCTCTAGTGAATGAACTCTACACAAATCTACTAAATTATTATTATTATTCTTTTTTTTTTTTTGAGATGGAATCTTACTCTGTCACCAGGGCTAGAGTGCCGTGGCGTCACCCTAGCTCACAGCAACCTCAAACTCCTGGGCTCAAGCAATTCTCCTACCTCAGTCTCCCAAGTAGCTGGGATTACAGGCATGCGCCACCATGCCCAGTTAATTTTTCTATTTTTAGTAGAGACAGGGTCTACTCTTCCTCAGGCTGGTCTTGACCTCCTGACCTCAAGTGATCCTCCTGCCTCGGCCTCCCAGAGTGCTTATATAGGCATGAGTCACCATGTCCAGCCAAATCTACTAAATTAAAAACTTTGTATAATAGATGCAATTTCAAGTGTCTTCTAATGTCATAGGGAATCTAATAAACATAATTTGCTTCAGAAATCTGTCATATCTGCAATTTGTATTGGTAGGAGACTCAGTACATAATAAAATGAGGAAGGCAAGAAAAAAAAATCAATCTGTATAGGTGAAAGAAAGGATGAAACAACAGAGTATTCCATAACTGAGATACAGTTATACAGCAAAAGGCAAAAATACAAATTCAATAACCTTTATCTTTCTGGGTGGCATTACTTTCAGCCTTCTTCACAATTTAGGGAACCCATGTCATTTATCACAAGGAATCTCAAAAAATTCACAAAATGTTCTCCCCCTCAAAAAAAGCTCACAAAGTATATAATCAAATATTTATTTTATTAAAAATAAGGATATACAAATGGCTTCAGAATGTTCTGTATTAAAAAAAAATAAGGATAAAAAGTCCTATAAACTAACTCTCTATACCTGGCAGCTATAAATTTCATTTAGTTTACTTAGGGGAAAAAACTCCAATTTTGACTTTTAGGATTGTTAAAATGGGATTTTAAAAAATTCATGTGACAAGGCCGGGCGCGGTGGCTCACGCCTGTAATCCTAGCTCTCTGCGAGGCCGAGGCAGGCGGATTGTTTGAGCTCAGGAGTTCGAAACCAGCCTGAGCAAGAGCGAGACCCCGTCTCTACTAAAAATAGAAAGAAATTAATCGG